CATGAGCCTCTAATAAAAGTTATATAGGAGATCACTGTGATTCTAATGGTGGCAAAATCTCTAAAATTAGTTCAGTAGTTCTTGAATATGTTTTCGCGACTATATAAACTTTTCTTTGCATAATATAAGTTTATATAGTCGCGAAGATATTTACTCATATTTATAAATGCTGACATGACATCACATAGTTACGTCTTATATAAAAAATCGGTTTTATAAAATAAAATAAAATGCAATTATGTGTCATAACTAGTGACGTAAGTAAGTCTGCATCTATACTCATATCTCTGGATCTAATTTTGGCGATTTTACTATCATTAGAATCCTTAGAGATCTCTCTATAACTTTTATTAGAAGTCCAAGTGATGTTAACTTAGTAAAAAAATGTACAATTTTATATTTAGTATAGAATTTGACGCGTGTGCGTTATACCTACCTGCACAACCAATCAGATTGAAAAAAATAGCGATGTTTCTAAAAAAAATCACTTGTAACTCATAATTTTGCTTACAAAACCATCTTTCACGTTCTAATAAAAAAAATTCCTTGCAAATTTTTGGCTTAGAAATATTCTTTGCTAATTCTCTTACCTATCTTAATGTTGACCCTTGCCCTTGTGTTACGCCCAAAATTGGGAGTGCAATGTTTGTGTATAGCAAATTAGCTTTGGACGCAGCATAAATCAGCGTTGTTAACTGGAAGCACTGGAAGACCACTGGAACTCCACTGGAAGCAACAATTAATAGTACCACTGGAACTTTTACTATTAGAAATTTCACTGGAAGGCTAGAAATTCCCACTGGAAGCCAAAGTTAACATCACTAGCATAAATTATGCTGGTGAGTATTTTATTAGAGATGCTGTACGAACAAGTTATTACTGTTTTTATTTACAGACAAAATTCTATCTACAAGATTGTTCTATATTATACGCATTCTCTCTTACTCGTCAACAAAATCACTCTTTATACATGCAATAAAAATGAAGTAATTCATTGATCAAGCAATAAAGCGAAAATGTCGTGAAGATAAAGTAATGTGTGGTAAAAATGTAGTAATAGGAAGAAATGAAAAAGTATTGCGTAAGGGTTGGTAATGAAGTAACAATTGACGAAAAATGTAGTAATCAGACTCTTGAATGTAGTCATAGAAATGTAACGGCTTTACTGCAGGGAAATGAGGTAATATCCTTGTCGATCACAGTGTGAAATAACACCCTAAATCAGTGATGCATTTAGGCAAATGGACGAGTTTTGGCAATTGGACAAAATTGTCCAAGACCTTGGCCAAAGACCAAAATTTAATCGCATGATTTAAATTATACAATCTGATCGGACAATCATAAAAACAAAAATTACCTGTTACTGTTGTTGATTTGTATTAATTCTGTAATTTTCATAAGAACATTGGACATTCCAAGACTGATTTGGACTAGTCTAAAACTGTCCAAAGTCCAATTAGGTTTTTGGACAAGTCCAAAAACCATCATTACGCGTTGGTAGGTTGTTTGGATATCAATCATATTTTCCAAATGTAAATTAAATAGTTACAAAGTTTCGTCCTTATCAACAATGTCGTGTCGCATATCACGGTAAATTATGTACAAGTTCTGTATACGTACAACCATATCAAAAGAAAGCTCTTAGAAAAGTAATGATAATAAGCATGAATATGAACAAAATTGTATATACAAATCTCAAAATGCCAAACTCAATAAATAAAATTAAGAATTTTATTTGAAAAAAACAAATCCAATGTGAAACATAGAAAAATGCATGTGTAATAATAAATATAAACGTTATATAAACGTTAGAGAGAAATGTTAAATGATTAGCAGTATTTAAATTACATGCATGCATATATATGCATACGGGGAAAAATATTCGTGACAAACTCTGTAATATTGTTCAAATTAAATATATATATGTGGAATTTTTTTGAGGAGATTTTAATAGCTCAATTGTTTTATCTCAAAGGGTTCCCGCCCTAATCGAAAACACCTTCAAAATTAAGTAATCTACTTTTATAAGATGCATCAGGATGCTCAGTGAAAGAGGTGTCTAAACTCGGTATGATTTTATCAGCCGCACTAAATGTATCATCCAAAATTTCAGGATCTTGAGTAATTTTCCACCAATGATCAAACATATTTAATAATTTATCAGCACTAGGACGTTCCACAGGATTAAAATCTGTACATTGTTTAGCACATTCAATATAAGATTTTGGTGTTCCTTCGGCAAAAGTTGGTCTTAACCCGTTACATATGTCCAATGCTAATTTATTATCATGAGCTCTATCGACAAATGGTGGTATGGACGTAGAAATTTCAGCCATTATAATTCCGATACTATAAATATCTGAAGCCTCAGTATATTTCTGACCCAATATTATTTCAGGTGCTACATAAGGTAATACACCATAAAATTCTTTAGGAGACATTGGAGGTAATTTTTTAGCCGGTCGTGATAAACCTAAGTGAGCAAGTTTTGCTACCGTTAAACCATCTTGAATTTGGCCCATCAGAATGTTTCCAGGATGTAGATCACGATGTGTGTAGCCAGCATTATGAATTGTTACAAGATTACCAGCGATATTACGAAGCCAATATAATTTATCAGACCAACTTAAATCGGTGAAATTTTGACGTAATAAGTTACGAATATCCTTATATGGAGCTAGTTCAGTAACCATAATGTAATCATTTGTTTGTGGATCTTGAGTGATACCAAAAAATCGAAGAAAACCATGGTCATATCTAATCTCGCCATCATGAGGAGGAATGGTCGATATACAGCGATGGTGTGTTTTAAGCTATAAACATTACAATAAAATAAAATAACAACAATTTAAACTTAATATTTTGAAATTTAATAATATATTAAAATTACCTCTTTAATATATTCAGCCGACATCTCTTTTGAGTCATTAATACTTTTCAAGGCGACGGGTCTGCTTTTAATCGTGGAACCCCATGAAACTCTTTTATCCATATCAATCCAATCAGCAGAATAAACGACACTAAAACCACCTTCACCAATTTTTTTAATATTAGCTAATCTATCATAAGGAACCCATTCCAGATAAGGATCAAACCGATCTTTAGCATTTAACTGAGTTTCTTTAATAAAATTATCAATTCCACGATGACCACTGGTCCAACCTTTTGTTAAACGATGAGTATCACATTTACACCAAATTTCGTCGTTAAATCGACGTTTCCAATGTAAATAAGGATATTTACATTTTCCACGGCCTTCTATTGTTCGACGGCCTTCTATTGTTCGAGGACGGGAATTTTGATTACCCATCGTTTGAATACAATAAGGTTTTGTGGATTATGACTGATAATTTTCTTGATGATATGCTAAAGACTAAATTCAATTAAAAATAATAATAAATAATGTTAATAAATAATAATAACCGATATCAAAAATTTTTCTATCATGTTTCTAATAGTAAAGTGGAGTGGTATTTGTTAAGAAAATAGGTAAATTTTTTTTAAAAACGATGAAAATTTTTTTTTACCTGGTCAAAGGCCAAATATATTTTTTTTTTCAAAAAAAAAAAAAAAAAAAACCAGTCTTGTGAATAGAGGAAGGCAAGGCCAACAAGAAAATACAGATATGTATTAATCCATTTATTTTGAAACGTTTTTAAGGTTTAATCATATTTTTAACCAATTACGGATGATGACGCTTTCAATTTTATTGTAACCGTAATGCATACTTTATTTTGAATTTTTGGACTACCTACGTACCTACGTACGTACGTACGTACGTACATACTGTACATACGTTAAATATTTACTCCAATACACACATTTCACGAGGTGCACAAATAAAATTTATCGGATCCAATTCTTTAGAGAAGAACCGGAGTAAAGACAGGGTCTTCATTTCAAAATGTAAGGTCTAATTGTTCAAAATTACAAATATGCAAAAATAAATTATTCAAAAATGGTTCAATGAATTCATTGTATATGATATGTATATGATGTAAATGGGAAATAAAATTTTAGTGGATTGGAATTTCGTAAGCAAGTTGGGTGCGTGCGTACGTACGTACGTAGAATTTATTCTATTACGTATAAACCTAACCCTAAAATCTTAAATTCCAAAATCCACTTATCGTTAGTTATGCATGTCGTAACATTTGTTGCATTTATTATAGTTTGTAGATATAAAAAACTGCATTCGAACATATATTTAACTTCTAAGACATTTGAAGTCCATAAAGATAAGAGTAACTTTATTTTCGTAAGGAAAGAGTATCTTTAAGTAATTTTTCATTGATTGCCCATTCCCTTTTTTGTTTAACACCATCTAAAATAGGGTGATATTCACGTAGCTTGAAAGTGAATTTTTTTTCTAGCGGTGAAAAATATGAATTGATATTTCCACCCCTTTTTCACCTGTAGTAACTTCAATCGAAGGTATCTCGATGAAAAATTTTATTTGAAAGATACCATTCTTGATGGATTGTCGATACTGTTCCTAATAGGATAAAAAAGGTACCGTCCCTGATAGGGTATGGACTGGATTTTATTTAAGTACAAAATACTAAGGTCGCATATCGATATTTCCATTAGCGTTAGGGTTCCCAAAATTTGATTATAAACAAAAATTTGTCTGATTGGTTAAATTTTGGGAAATTACACGTGAGCAAGAATTTCTCGATTTGCTATTTTATGTTTATTACCATACACATATATATATAGAAAAAGTCCAAATGAATTGATAAATGCGTTACATTCTCAACGAGAGAAATTCTAAATAATCGCCAAAAAAAAACAATACAAAAATTTCTAAAGATCCATTCCAAGCATGCAAGTACAAAATAACATGAAACTACTAAAATGCACAGAAGAGACTTCAAAGAACCAACTTAAACGCAAGGAAGAATGATAAGAACATTTTTTAAAAATAATAATAATAAATAAATAAATAATAAATATGAAAATAAAGAATGACGCAAAAAGATAAAACGCACGAAAGAACTTCAAAGAACAAAATGAGAAGAACGTAGAACAATGCATATATACATACTGTATATAGTAGTAAAAGAAATGCCGTATAAAAATTTTTATTGTTATCTATCTGTATATGGTTTTAAATATTGAATTAATAAGAATTGGATTTTTTGATTTTTTTGGGTAGAATTCACGAAATTATACGTAATTTTCAGTAAATTAATTTTCTCCTGTGACTCCGACTATGTAACCCTTAAGTTCAGGTGTCAAAACAAATGTGTTTTGTGTAAAATGAAAACCAAGAAAACCGTGTTATAGTTAGAGTCATGATCAGCTGAAAATTTTTTTGTTTTTTGAGAACATAAATTTTAGAATTAATGTTTTTATTAATAAAATTTTACTATATTCAAAAAAATATTGTCCTCAAAATACTATTAATTATATTAAAAATTAAAAAATTTTATGTTCTCAAAAATGGTTTTAATGTTCTCGAGAACGTTGAGAACATTAGATTTCCAACACTGGTCATGATTAAAACAATATAACGACGCCTATTAGTAAAACATCATGAGAAAACATTTTTAATTAGGCCGCAGAAGTGGTATCCTAATTAAAATTTAGAGTTATTCTTGTTTTTTTGTAAAAAAGTGGTTTCGTTCGATTTTTACGTACACCTGATCCTGAAATTCGATTGGTCAAAGTTAAAATTTTTTGTGGGAGAGCTAGGGCGTCATTTTTTTCTTATTATTACATGGTTTGGGACGCCCCAAATAGTTTGGGTCACATCACAAATTCCGACATTACAAAAGTTACCTTTTTTGTGGCGATGCTGAGGCTGGCTTATGTAGGGGTGACACAAACAAAAAATAATAACACAACAATTCTCTTAAAGAAACCGACTAAATTTAATATAATCTAATATAACTGTAATTAACATTTTATTATTTTATTGTTTATTTTTATACGTAAAAATTTTATGCTATCAAAATGATGCATTGGTATATATGTTGTGCCTCAGATCGATTCTTGCCTCAGGTGATAACTGAGGCACCTCAGATGAGCATGGTGGACAATCGTGGTAGTACAAACTTCCAAACAATTTGTGACTCAGGACCGATCTGTCCAATAAAAGTATGGGGATGATCGATCACATGAAATTAAACGATTGGTCAATCTTCCCCAGCATCGCCAGAAAAATTTTTACTATCACGTGATATTCGACAAATTTCTTTAATTTTGTTTACGTTA